GCAGAATTGGACGCACAAAAACTCCATCCGCTACGTAAATGGTCTTCCGGTTCAGGTTCAACGACCAGGAGACTTCCGCCTCTCCCACTCCCATACGGACCTATAATGTACACTGGGAAGACTTAAAGTTTATAGAGTCTAAAATATCAAACATCTTAATGAGCCACCTGTAAATTCCCACCTCACCACGTCCTTGTCGTATTAATTGTCTTAGTAGGGTACACATCATAAGGTAACTATTACGAAACATTGGAATCTTTTCGTCTTTGGTTTGTAAATCCAGTTCGTACTTAAAATAATACCTTACTGGACGGAAAGTACTTCGTGAAAGTTCTCCATCGAGTCGATCAACTTGTGTACTCGTGTTATGATTTATTTTTTTTTTTCGTCTTATTGAGACTCGACTGTTCTTTTACGAGTCAAAACACAACTTATGTGTGTTAGTTCCGAGTGTGTGTGTAATATTACTTGTATATCAAATTAGAGAACTTAATTTTCGTCTAGTATAGGTTGAGTTATAACATGTAGATGACGGAACGAGAGACGATTGCGCTCTGAACACGCCGTCTATAGAGGGGTATATCTCTCACCCCCGAATACAGAGTAAACCAGAGGAACCAACAACCACAGGGCAGCCTCCAGTATCGTCACAGTTCTGTCCACCAGTTGCGTTATAGGTGTTACAGTTTCGAGTGATTTCATGCTCTTTATCTACTCCTTCCGACGTTCGTCTAAATGAAACCCTTTATTGGGACTGTCAATGACATGTATCTCTCACGACGTCCTTACTCAGTCGAAAACCGGAACGACAAGGGAGCACGGCACTTCCATTATGCCAAGACTTACACAAAAACCAATTTTTGGACTTTACTTCCGACACATTGTGTTCACGACTTTTGACTACTAAGATGCTGTAATTATTGCAGTCAAACTTTATGGGTGGCTACCTAAAAAACTTTACCGCCAACGTTGTTCACAAGGGTTTCATACTGCGGCAATCGAATCGACACCCACTCCACTTCGTACACTGGACACCGCACATCAACGGGAAATATCGGGTTGTATCAGCAGAAATCGAATTCCACACTGCACTTCAGTAACACTGCACACGACATCAAGGAAATATCGGTTGTAATTCGGCGGAAATCTATCGCCACCGCTGCACTTTCAGTACTACTGGCACGACATACAAGGGAAATATCGGGTTGTATCGGGCAGAAATCGAATCTCAACCACTAGCACTTCAGGTACACTGGAACTTATCAAAGAATATCGGGTTGAAATCGTCGAAATCGAATCGCCACCGCTGCCTTCAGTACACTGGACACGACATCAAGGAAATATTCGGGTTTGTAATCGGCAGAAATCGAATCGCCACCACTGCACTTCAGTACACTGGAACTTTATATCAAGAAATTCGGGTTGAAATCGTCGGGAAATCGATCTCCACCACTGCACTCAGTTACACTGGACACGCATCAGGAAAATTCCGGTTGTAATCGGCGGAAAATCTAATCGCCAACCGCTGCCACTTCCAGACACTGACACGAATCAAAGGAAAATATCGGGTTGTAATCGGCAGAAATCGAACATCGCACCACTAGCCTTCAGTACACTGGGAACTTATCAAAAGAATATCGGTTGAATCGTCGGAAATCATCGCCACCCTGCACTTCAGTACAACTGGCACGACATCATCGAAATATCGGGTTGTAATACGGACGGAAATGATGGGCCCACTGCACTTCTAGTACATGGCACGACATCAAGGAAATATGGGTTGTAATCGGCAGAAATCGAATCGCCCCACTTCACTTCAGTTACACTAGGAACTATATCAAAGAAATATCGTG